GTGTGACTGTGGAAGAGAACTCCCCACAGACAGTGTAAGATGAAGACCATAGATTCTGACTGCATCTATGGACTTCAGTATTGACAAGATCTGTTCCCTGTTAACCCAAGCCATGTTTGAAATACAGCTTAGAAAACAAATATTCAGGCCAGAGAAGAGCACTTTCCACATTCACCAGAAGCAGCCTGCCAGCACACTCCTAAAAATAAGCATTTTTGAAGCAACCCTTTGTACCATCATAGGCTAGAAATCTGGATGCAGAAATGAACTCACTATGATGACTGTGCAGATCTAAATCATTGTCCAAATGAAAATTAGGATGTTTTTCTATGTGCTGATAAGCACAAGGCTCCTATCAGGAGAGGGTGGACGGCACATTTAAGAAGGTGGTGTTTGGGTCAGTGTTACAGCTATACTGTCCAGGACACGGTGTCTATAGCATGCCCTCGCTGACCCTTGCAGCACACACTCAGTTTCCCCCAAAATGAAGCCAGCTGCGGCAGCCCGAGGCTGCCCCATGACGCGTATGCAGCAAGCACAGGCAGCGGGGGCAATCGGAGGATGCACTTCAAAAGCACGCTCCTGATGGGAAGAGACGGGCACACCCTGCAACACTTGGAGAAGGCAATGCTTTGCTTGAATCGTTGAACGGTGAGGCAAGAACAAGGTCCGTGTGGGGTGAAATCAAATACAGTCATGGTTATGCATGAGCAGAATCAATTATCGCCCCATTTTAAGCCATGGAGGAATGTCTCATGTACATTGACCAGAAGCTGGGAACAGCAGGTGAGGAAACTCTCTTCACGCCTTCTTCTTTTGGAAGTTCAAAACTGCTGTTGGTTTGCTCTGCTATGCCCCATTTCATGTTCTCAGTGCATCAGCATTAGCTTACTTGTCTTTAAGCTCTCAGATGAGTCCCAATCTTTCACAATGACATCCCAATACAGAGACACACCACACACATCCCAAGGACAGCCTTGAAAGAACAAGAGAAGAAGGGGATAAAAGCACAGCCCTTGCAGGAGGCTGCCCCAGTGCAGGGGTGCTCCAGCACCAGCAGCCACCCAGCACTGCTCAGGGGCTGCTCACGGCCTCAGGGGGCCAGGGCACCGCATCTGCCCTGTCCCACGAGTGCCCTGCAGTAGCGAAAGGAAGGAAGGATTTGTTGTTCAGTCCTCTCACAGGGCCTCTTGCTGCAGCCTGTCACCTCCCAAGTGCTGTCGTGCCACATGATTATTCCTGTGAAGCCAGAAGCTGTTTATTTGGTTTTAGGGTTTTGTAGCTTGGCCCACACCCTAGCATCCAAAAAGGTTTACCAACATTTCCACCTCTGCCTTTTTCCTGCTCTTTTGAACCCTCCTGTGATGAGTATTGCACTGAAAATGTGGTCTCTGTTTCATAAGGATCAATATAATCTGCTCCCAAGTCTCTGTGCTTTCTCTTCATACTTGGCTAGGAAAGAAATGACTGTGATGAAGAGAAAGGATGTGGTGATCTGCCAGTATTTCTGACAACTAGAACAGCAATATAAAACCATCAAACCACAAAGGTTTCTACAGGGCACAATGCAAGAGATTTGCTACAAACCAACCACAGCTCTGTAACGATCTGCCCAAATAATTATCGGATCATTGTTTAGCGGCTTTGTATCAAATGATTTGTTCAAGAAGGCATTTTATTTAAAATAGCAAATCAATATTTTTCTGTATAGTTTCTGCTAAGCCTCCTTCTCTAACCATCCTGGGACACCCCCAAGTAACACAGCAGCTTCAGCTTCATGTTATTATTATTGCACTAACCTTTCAGCCGTCGGTAATTTTGTTTTTTTTTTTTTTTTTTACAGTAGCTGGGACTGAACTGGATTGGAAAAGAAAGGTGTGGACAGCCAATGAAGTTCAGCCAAAGTGGATGTGAACAGGATTTAAAAAATAGGTTTTGTTTGTGCCCGGCCCTGGCCATATGCTGAAGGAAGGGAGGGAGGTTACCTGGGGTCAAGGGGTTCCCCCTGTGCCGTCGGTCAAACTGTATTGGAAACAGCTTCCAGCACAAGCAGACTTTAAATCATGCTACTTCTACTTTTGATATGAGGTTAAATGCCTGGGGTAGACACGACCATCATTTTTTCTTAACTTTCAACCAGTGTGGGGAATAGTTTGCATATTGGTACTTAGGGCACTGCACCAGAAGAGGCATGTATCTGAGAAGATAAGGAGCATGGATTTAATATCCCTTCGTTCAGCAGATCAAGACATAAAATAGAGCACACCTTAGAGAAAGGACTATTGATTCTACTTATTCTGGTTTTTGACGAGCACTCAGATGATCTAGGTGTTTTTTGCAAATGTTATCTCTTAATGCACCTGCCCCTAACAGTCATAATCCTGTTAGATAAGGGGATAGAAGGATCAAACTGAATCCATACTAAAAAATAGTTGGAAGGGTAATTTTTGCTTGAACGAGGAGTGAACTGGAACCATTATTCTGAAGTGTTTATAGAGCCTAGACTGGGCTTGATTATTTTAAAAAAGCCTTTCAGCTCCCTAGATAAAACCTAACTGAAAATTCATATAAACAAGCTAAAAGAAGACTACATCAGTGAGATTCTACACAAACAGGGAATATTTGTGCTTCTGTCAAAGTTTGCTGTCACTAATGTTTTACCAGAATGTCAAGGATGAAAATGGTGTCTCAGAAATCCTAGAGCTGTAATTCTGGGTGAGGAATTCTATGCTGAGCAAGGCGAGCAAGGCAACACATTTAAAAACCCAGCATATTAATAGTCCATTTATTTAAACAAAAGACTCTTCTACCATATGAAGGTTACAAGAGAGATTAAAACAAAAAGGATGAAAATGAATCATAAGTAACATGCATCTTTGCAGAGATATCCTCTTTGCAGAGATATCCTCCTGCCGAAAAATCATCAGGCTTTTATACCTTTTAACACATCTCCCATAAGGTAAATGAAGACATAAACCATCATTTCTCTCCATTTCACGTGCTTTCTCTCACACAAACACACACATTATAGGAAATGCCATCAAGCTACTGGGCACAAACCTAATTCCAGAGCACGCAACAGTTCACACAGTGACGTGGTTTTATGAGTCTTGACAACTTGAGAAGTGGGATACAGCTCTGCACCTACAAACTACCAGCCCTGGTAGATGGGAGAGCTACTGGTTAACCTGTCATCACCACTAGTGTTACCTTCAGACAACATGCTTATAGCCTCATCCGTTTGCTGGCTGGCAGTTGTCGAGATCTTCTTCGAATCATGGATGTTGCTTTGGTAGTTCACTGGTGAGGGATAGGCATTTTCACCCACCGTTGATGAGGACATTGATTCCCAGGGTATTTCGCTCTTTCGCCATTTCAGGTCCACTCTCCATCCCGTCCAGCCATAGAAAGCTAATGTGAAGAGGAAGCCTTGCATCGGATTAAGAACCCCCTAGGAAAGAGAAGTGCAACAGGAGTCACACCAGCAAGGCTTCATTTTGAACTCCAGCAAAACACTTTGCATGCATTAACAACTTCCCTTTCACTGAACAACTGCTGTCTTTAAAAGATGCAATCTGCATGCAAATAAAAGCGTATGTTGTTCCCATTGCAGACACAAACAGGTCGGAGTGAAATACCACAACCTGTTGTTCCAATATGCTGAGGAATATATCCAATATCCAATATCCTAGTGAACAGTAAGCACAGCATGGTTTTCCAGCATGAGTTTTAGCTGGTCAATCCCCTGGTGTGTTTTTAACAGTTCCCACAAGCTCCAGACTTTTTTATTCACAAAAGCAAATATTACATTTTTCACTAGAAGCCAAGCCAAATATATGAGAGACACTAGTGCACACACAGAGTCAAGTTTCTTTAAAATAGCAGCAATTGATCTGTCTGGAATTGTTGCAGATTCCTGAGCCAGCGCAAATGTCCATCAAAGCAGGATGGAAAAATGGGGAGAGACACTTAAAAAAGAAAATCCCAAGTGATTTCCAAAAAAATTGTCTCTGTTCCCAGTGCCATGGGATGCTTGGCAAGTAAATGGCTTTAGCTGTTTCCATTTTTCTGATGAGAAAAGAGCAAATTATTTTTACAGCCAATTTAAAAAATAACTGAGTTCCCAGACCTGACCTCTTGCTCTGCAGGTGAGCAGGAGCAAGGTCCCTGTCACATGAATGTGTTCACTCCTTGTCAGAGGAGGAAGTGGTATCAAATCAGTTGCATCGCTTAACCCTTCAATACAAAACAGCTCAAGGGCTTAACTGGACAAAGCGTGCTCAGGCCTTACTGGTACTTAACAGCTCCAGAATAAACTCTCTTGGAAAAGGAACCTTCAATGTCACCTCTGAAATATCGCTTGTCAAATATTCCAATAGGAGAAAAGAGGGTAAGGTACAGTAAGAGGCCAGCATCTTGCAGCTATTTTTTGGTGCATTACTTTCAAGATTTTTCATGTATTTGTCCCCAAATAATTACCCAAATGTCATGATACAAGATGCAGTTATTCTTTATAATAAAGAAAACCCTAGTTACAAACAAGGAATTACCAGAAAATGTCCATTTTATTGGGGAACCTTCAGGAATCGTGAGCTAAAACTTTTTAGCTTGCATTACGGCAGAGCTTAGCAAGGTTAGACTAGAAATCAGTGTAGTGGTCTGTTCTGGATCTTAAAATGGGTAGCAATCACTCACAGAGAGAATGCATACTCCAGTAAACGGGAGAAAAAGTTGGCCTTTGGTACGTTTTTGGCAAAGTTTATATGTGAAAAGCACTCCCAGTAACCGCTCCTTCCTCTCCCTTACTTTCTGCTTTTCTTCCTTGAGTTTCAGAGTGTTTATATCCCCCCAAATCATAAACCACCCACTACACCAGTCTCATAAAAGTAATTTCTAAGACTAAGCAATTTGTGGCTGAACTACCATTATAATCCATGTGATCAGTGCAGCACTTCTGATGTTTTTCAGGAGCATTTCATTGATATCTGGCTGCATTTCGAGGTAGAACAAAAGGCTCTCGTTGATGATATTGGATGACCAGCTATTGCAGGAATAAAGAGGAAAAGAACAAGACAGTTTCACATATATGTGTATGTCTATGTAAAATATGCTTTACTTTCATATTATAGAAATTAGGATCACTAATAAGGAGAGTGAGATTTTTTTAATGTTAAGTCTCAATCTGAAGGGACCAGTAGGTTTCTGAGATCAAAAACCAGACACTTACCTGCTAGACCAGGCCTAAACAAAGAAATCAATATAACAAACAAACAAACAAGAACCTGATCATTTGAGCTTGCTGCAGAACAGTAAATTGCAGGATAAAATTGAGATGATAAACAACTGTGATTCTTAACGAGAACATCCTGAATGGTGACTTCTTTTGCTTGTGTGGCCTGGTTTCAGCTGGGACAGAGTTAATTTTCTTCCTAGTAGCTGGCATAGTGCTGTGTTTTGGATTTAGTAGGAGAATAATGCTGATAACACACTGATGTTTCAGTTGTTGCTAAATAGTGCTTACTCTCTAGTCAAGGACTTTTCAGCTTCCCATGCTCTGCCAGG